TATTTTGTTCTACGATAACTGAAAAAAATGTGTTTCTGTATTATTTGAAGTAGTAATTTAATTCTTAAGAAAATCCACAAAAGAACAACTCGTTTCGATAAAAAATAAATTTACCTTCTTATTTTCACTTAGGTTGTTGTTCAGCCAAAATTACCCTAAAACTTTTAAACGCATGTGCACATACGATGTTGTTCAACGTAAATTTAACAAAAAAATACAGTCGTATGTTATAATACGATTTTGTTCTTTGTAAAAACGTTTACATGAGACTTTGTTCTAAACAAAAAAACAGCATTAAACACTATTAAAAGGTTTTTTTACTGGTAATAGGATAGCGCTTAAAGTAAGGTAATACAATTTAGAACTTACATTGGATAATATTTGACTATAATACAGAATCTACATACACACGAGACATCCATACTAGCTCCCCGTTACCGTCAGAAACCCACGCCCTCATAGAGCGCTCGTCTCACTCCAAAACAATTTATACTCCCGATGAATGGCGCCTGCTTGTACGATGGGCAAAAACAGATGGTGAACCATATTTAGTCAAAGTTATGGTGCAGGAAAACTTCTTTAACTTTAAAACTCATGTGAATGACAAAGTATGGAACAAAAGATCATATTGTGGACTAAAATTAAACAAGTTTTAGTTGATAAATTTGAACCAAATAAATTGTACTTTAAGTATGCTTTAAATGAAGAATCTTACGAATGCTTAGTTATACGGAACGATACAAGAAACTCATCTTTAATACCTGTCTTGGAACGTACTTACTCTTCACCACTCAAATTAACAAAAGATAAATATAATGATCTAGAAAGCATGTGCAAAACGGGTGTTATAAATGCTACTAATGCAGTATTTTTTAGATCTTTACCCTACAAATCTAGCAATGCAAATGATGACGACTTGAGTAGTGAAATTGATGAGTATCTACATAATACACTTATTAACTTTTTTTTATAAAAGAAACAGGTAAATAAATACGTAATTGTTGATTACCTAACAAATTAGTAGAGTAAAATAAATAAGCAGAGGTTAGTAAATTAGTGATTATAAGCAATGATTAAAATACAATTAAAAAAAAACTACTACTAGATAATAATTTCGTCGTTATAAGGTTTAGTGATGACGTTATAATGTGATTATGTTGAACTTCATTAAACTATTTATTTAGTTTCAGTCAGACATAAAAAATGAATGTTGTTACAAAGCCTGTACGAACATTCATTTTTAATATTTGATTGTAAATAAGTAAATAGTTTTATGAAGTTCATTAATTATTTTAGACTAACGCTATTTGTATGGAAAACAGGCCCAAAGACGGGGTTCTTAATGTTTAAACGTAAAAGAACAAATTTATTTTGATACTAGAAACTTTTTGTTTTGTTTAACATTTTATAAGGGATTTTTAGGGATGAAAAACATAATTTTATTTCTACCGAATGTTATTTGTCGATATATTTACCACGGATAAGTCAACTTTTTTCCACTTTGGAAGCGTCTGTCACGCAAACTATTCGGTTTAGAAAAAAAATATTTTAGAAACCTCGATAACATTTTTGAAGACCTATCCATATAGATACCCCACACGTATGTGTTTGATAAAAAAAAATTTTGAGTTTCAGTTCTAAGTATGGGGACTATGGGGAGCCCCCGATATTTATTATTATTTTTTTATTTTTGCATCAAAATCTTAATGCGGTTCACAGAATACATCTACCTACCAAGTTTCAACAGTAAAGCTCTTATAGTTTCGGAAAAAAAAGGCTGTGACATACGGACGGACAGACGGACAGACAGACAGACATGACGAATCTATAAGGGTTCCGTTTTTTGCCATTTGGCTACGGAACCCTAAAAATGATTGTCTAAAATAGTTTTCCTTTTACCATCTACATTTAGATACGATAACGGTACCTAGATTTAACACATACGACTTTGGTATTGAGTCAATATCGATGTACATAGTCTCTTGTACACATACTACTTTTTGTGACTATAAAGATTCCATAAAACAAAGTCTCATATGTAGTTAAGTCTGAGTTTATTCCAGAAAACAAAGTCTTACTGTTACATAAGAATCAATTTTAAATAAAATACATATTTAAAACAAAACACTACACAGCAAAAACAAGTAAACAAAAGAAACAAATACTTTTTACTATAATTTACTTCAAATTATGATGTTCTGATACGTAATTCACATGCGTAACTTTAATGCTTCCTACTGCAACTAGACAACTTTGAAGATACGACTTTGTTCTTGGGACCCGTCGATATGGATATTTTATTGAAATTCGTAGGATCCGAAAAACCAAATAAGTAAATTCGGAAATTTTTTTTTCAGTAAGTTGAACAATATTTGTGCAACTTGTGTGACTTGTTAGGGACGATTCGATCCCGGGACAAGTTGAGACTAGTCGAGACAAGCGATCGCGGGGGACTCGTACGTCGTTCGACTTTTTTCTTTTTCTCGAGCGGAAGGGGCGAATTGTGTGCAACTTGTTTGTATCTGTGGAAACAGGTTGGGGATCTCGAGTTGAAACATGAAGCGCCGGTTTGATCGCTTTCTGAGGATGCTACGTTTCGAGTTTCGATCTTTCTGAAAATGATTCCATGAACCTTATCGTACTTTATTCGTGGGTTATGTTTGTAATAAGCGAACTGCCGCGAATCTTGGGTTATCGTGTGGTTTGCCTCACGGATAGTTATGAATACGATGTTGTATCCGACGCGGGATGTTTGTGCCGTTATATCACGCAGATAACAATGGCCATACCTATAACTGTATGACAAAGTAAACACTGAACGTGGAGTTTATCTTTCCTGATAATTTCACGCGAATAACTAAATTATAGAGGAAATAATTTTAGAGTACGAAAGCAGATAAGTAAAAAGTAATAGCGTACCTTTTTTGTAATTTTTGAGACAACATTTTTTGAAACACAATTTTTACTGTATGGGAACAAAACCAAAAAATTGGATTAGTGGTTTAGCATTTAAAAATCACTGACTCCTAAAAAGCGATTTGCAAAATGACAGTTTTGAAATAATCTTTTTATCGACAAGTGAGTGAAAAACAGAGATAAAAAATTGCGTTAGGAATAGACAATGAGACTTTGTAAATAATATTTTCGTTTTGAAATTATTTTCACATTTCGGTAATTTTCAAAGATGGAGATTATTTTTTGTTTTACGTAAAAAACTTAAAGAAGAAGAATACAATTTAATTGAAAGTCATCATCGGATAGGAAATATAATAAGTAATAACAGCGATAAAGCCGCGACTGCGTGTCGGTGAGTCACTCGCCAAGGCCAGAACGCCGGCTCGCTTAGCAACTGCCTTTTTGCTTTCCTCTTTTTGCTAAGCTTTTTTGTGGTTGCCTCACCGCGATTCGGTTGCTAAGCTCATTGTTTTTGGAACTTCGTTATTCGTTATTTTCTACTTCGTTCGAGAAATTATCGACTTTGAAAATTTCTTGTGGTCTTCCAATTATTTTCTACTTTGATAACTTATTTCTATTATGGTGATTCTGTTAATAATGTTTCAGTGCAAAAGTTATTAAGTAGATATTTTATTGTTCCCTTTTTCATAAAAAAATATTTTTACAGGGTTTTTTATTTCGAAAATTTTTCAACTTTCTCGTAATTTCTCTACTTTATAAATTCACCGCATTTAGACACTTAACAAATTTGTTTTCATGAATGATGAATGTTTAGAATCTTGGATGGATATCACTTTGGCTTTGTTCCCATAAAGATATGAGCATAAATCTGCTCATGATAACATTGCGATAAACAACTCTCTCATAAATTTATCTGCTAAAATTTAATCTCAAGACAAATTGACAATTTGAAATTGCAGATAACTTTTTCTATTATGGCACTTAGGCTTGTTGTTTTTTACAGAACAGTGATTTAGTATTTTTTTGCTTTATCGCTCCATTTCAAAGTGCAAAAAACGAGATCAGAACCGGTTATTGAGTTTATGGTTTCTTTTGCGTGTATTTTTAACGGGTGATGCAACTTCTGTTTGTATTGAATGAGAAGTATTTACCGACATTTATCGGCACAATTACCGATGCATTACACTTGCTTAACAAATATGCAGAAATTTCTTGGTTATGTAAGTGGTTATTGAATTTGCAGAAGTTGAAATTGTTTATATTATAATAACAGATAACTTCACAGGTGCCAGTCAAAAGTGTTTGATTACTCTAATTAAACAGTGCATTAACATTATCATTACGTTACTGTGTACACAATCGATGGACACACCCACAAATTACATTCAACTCATGTAAATAAAGTTACAAAAGATTTATACATTTTACAAACAAATTTCAATGACCTCAACTCACAATTTCAATGGGACAAAGGAATACATTTAAAAGATAATCCTTCACATGACATTAAAACAATAGCTTATTCTAATCCTTAACCTGAACACAATAATGAAACAATAGTCTTGCTATCTATACTATCTTTGTATGCCGAGACCTACCTAGCCGAAGCGACGCCCGATATCAACTTTCATAATCCAATACAGTGCTGATACAATTTCAACATACGTAACTATAACAAACTTATACTAAGCCGGTTACAATTTTCGCTACAAATCTTAACTGCTTCAGCTCTCACAACGCAGAACGACACGGTAACAAGTCGTTGTAAGAACTTCCACATCACAAACGAACAAAGAAATCTAGAACGTTCTTTCGGTACCGAAAACTTCGCACACGCGTTTGGGATACGATTGAGACGTTTTGAATAGAGAGATAGGGTGTTTTGTCAGAGTTTTAGGGCACTGGGGGGCGTACGTGACTAGAACAAAGAAGCCGGCCGGCTCGCGGCGGAAGCCGGCACGGAGCGGCGTGGAGACGACCGCCAAGCTCGGCGCTCGGGCGCAACTGGCGCGCGGGGCCCCCGCGCTCGCCCGCCGCCACTCCCCGCGCACACCCGCCCGCGGCCCGCTATATAAATACCGCGCATTTCCCCATATCGCCAGTCCGTCACACAAAGCGACCGGGTCGGGTGGGTCGAACAGAGCCAAGGGCGAGTGACGAAGCCCTAAGGTTACGAGATCAGATCTGATGCAGTCGTGTTAACCGGACGTTTCAATTTCCCATCGATCTCTTCACGATAACTAGTCGCCGGTCGTGAAGCCGGTTGTTCAGTGCGCATTCGCAGTACAAAAGAGACTTGTGATATTTTTCTAGCGTTTAAGTTCCGGAGCGGAACGCTTTAAATTTCGTATTAAAAGTGTACAATATAAGTAAAAATTTGGAAAACATGGAGATCCTGCCGGTCACCAATCAGTTTAATGTGGGATTCAACAGTGAAAAAGGTGAGTTACTTTCTATCATGTGAGATGGTGAGGGAAGCTTTCTAGCCGGTTAGTTGCTAGGCGGCGCGCGCAGTGCCTCGGCCGGCCTGTCAGGCCGCGCTCAGCTGAGCCGTCAGCTGTTCCGATGCGCTCCCTTGCCCTTGCGATTCGATCCACTTTCTGATTTCAGTACAAAAACTTTATGGCTCTTGAGTTCTAGTAAGATTCCCATTTGAATGTTAGTAATTCTATTTGGTTTCATTTTGTAACTGCCATTTAGTAAAGTTAACTATACCTTCATCTAATTTGACGTTACTCAATTTTTGTCTTTTTTAGTTTTTATGATAGTAATAAATTTTAAACACAGTGATTATAGTGATGTCCCACTTATCTAATCCAGTTATCGATAGTTTGCTAATCCTATTAGATTTTAGGTAACTAAAAATAAAAATTGAAAAAGTTCGAAATTTGAAAGTGTGTTTCTATTGTTTTAGCGTGGAACGGGCCGACATGGCGGGAAGCGCCGATGCCGGTGCCGACGGAGGCGGCGCTGGCTCAACGGCTCGAAAGAGAACTCCGGGCGGCTAAGGGAGCCAGCGAGCTGGCCGCAGCCGAGGTCCTGGTACCTGCGGAACTGCTGGCCAGGGCCTCGAGGCAGATCTTAGCGCTGGCGGAGGGCGAGCCCTGCGGGGCGAGGGGCGCCGCTGTCATCGTGGACGTGGCCGGCCGCCGCCTGGCCGCCTTCAAGATCGACGCCAACATGCTCACGACGCACGAAATCCATCTGCACTTAGAGCACGACTCGACGAACTGGACTAGCCTGTTGCCGCAATTTTTAAAGTGAGTTTCATAGTTTTTCATCAACCACTATTTTATGAAACAAACTTAATAGTTTGAATCTCGGAGTGGCAATGATTAGCGAAACTAATGGCCCGTTTCTATTGTTACAGAAATTTAACGCGGAGCGGCACCATCATTATCAGCCCCCAGTTCACGATAGAAAAGAAAAAACTCTTCAGAGGCCAGGCCGAGTGAACCGCCTGTGATACCGCGTGGTGCGAGCGAGCCGACTGACTGCCCTCCTCGATATCTACGTATCGTTATTTTAACAAATATCAATATTATATGTATATTAATTATTATATATTTTTAATAAGAGAAAAAAGCACAGCGTGATATGTAATGTATAGTTATAGAGTAAGCGCGCAAGAGCGCCGACTTTAGTTGCGCGCCCGCAGACGCCGCGGAGCCGGCCGACAGCGAACGACCAGCGCTTTGTGCTCACAAAGCGGCGGTGTTCGCCGCTGTCGGGCGAATGCGCGGCGAACGCGCGGGCGAGCGCGCGACGGCGCGTGGCGGCGAGCGTCGATCTCGATCCCCCCCTCCCTGTCGCTCCCTCTACCCACCGCTGCGCTCGCCTCCAGGCGCCGTCCGTACTTATGTTAATCATTACGATGATTGTTTGTATTTTATTATTGGATATTTTAATGGTTGCGAGTCGTTGGTGACGCGTGAGTGGCGCGGCGGCAACCGGTGCGAACCTCATGATCTCAGTCGCCGCCGCGCGAGTGATAATGATACCCTGATCGATTTAGTCTTAGGTATTATTTTTTGTTTCGAGTTCAATTCTATCTGAAGTTGAGTAGAGGTATATTTCATGTATCGTAATTGTATTTATTAGAGCGATCTCTGCCGAGGTCGGAGATATGTGTACGTTTTTTGTAATTGTACTAGTTCGTACATTTGTTTGTGATACTACTTTTGTAATGTATAAAATTTAAATGAGAAAAAATATACTTTTATGAATGTGAGGATATGCGAGCAGAATATAGAGCTGTATAATAGTGCCGTGAGCGATTGGAGGCAATAACTGGGGGGGCGGCAGGAGTGGCTGAGCAAGCGCCCCTGGCGCCCCCTCTTGCAAAGATCTCAGGTTTATATTATTATAGTTATAAAAAGTATTAAGTTATTTAAGTTAATATAAAAGATTGTAATTTTTTGTAAGATTGTTTTCTATCGCCACGCAAAGCTGGCAACTGTAGAGTCCAGTGGACGAGGTGTACGCCGTACACAGACTTGTTAATATTGCAGTCGAATGCATTTTCTTCATCCAGTTTAATTGTTACATTAAATGTAAATCAATAGACTAACCGTTTTTAAACGAAATCTAAATGTTTGTAGGGTCCAGTGTTTTAAACGCACAATATCATAGTACTAGAGTTCACTTTCATCAAAAAGATTATAAAATGCTACAAAAACATTTAACTTCTAAACTTGAAATCAACATATACAAAACTAACAATAATAATAAATGTATCAATTGTTTATAATTGATATTTATTTGATAGACCGTAAAAAGTGTAGAAATTATTGAAAAAATACATAGTTTCAATAATGGATTCCCTTGTTTTTTTTCCTAAACCCCTTTTAGAAAGCTACACCAACACATTTATCAGGCTCACATACACACACGAACACATAGAAACCATTGAATGTCTAAAAAGGTCGAAAGATGACAAACAGATGATATTTTATGGAAAACAAAAGAAACTCGAGGACATTACCATACATTACCATGAAGTCGAGCTGTAGGCAACAAACAAGTGAGGCGATAGTATAAACAGGACTGGTTTGGCGAAACCAGTTCCATCTGGTTCCAGTTTGCGACCGGTCCGAGCGAGATCGGTGCAACCCCATCTTCGTATCTAAGTCTATAAACACACCAACTATCTAACGAAAAAGGTTTAGAAGAAGCCTCAATAAAAGTAAAGTTCTTACTATAAAAGATTCTGTTAGTTATCAGGCAAAGACACCTCAAAATTTTCAACTCCCTACAACTTTTGCCTTAAAATTACTGCAATTATAAGACAATGAAGTGGTCCCAAAATCTTATCACGTTCATAATTCTTCTAGGCTTCTTTCGCACTCTATACCTAAGTCTATAAAGACTATATACAGCTTATCGAATGGGCTAGGCTGTTACATATGCATGACGTCGGTCCATTTTATTTTATTTTTTCTACAGACTAGATGTCAACAATTTTACGGCCAGCAATAAAATTGTTTACTTTAAACATTGTCGCTCGGAACTGATCGAATCGAATAACAATAATGCGTATAAGACTATCGAGCGTAAGTATAATCAATTAGCTATTTTATGGCATGATTGTATTCGTTTTGTAGAAAGTAGTGAAATAATAACTATATGAAATCAGTAAGTAATTAATTTCACGGAGCATTCATGAGCATTGAAGAAACTTACATGCCACAAAAAATACAAAATAGTTTTATAATGGAACTGATCTTGTTCTGCAGGACTAGGTCTTAAAAAAACTGGTGATACCAGTAGAAACTGCTTCTTATACGGTCATTTAATATTCTCTAATTGCTTTTAGACTACTTTTAGACTACTATTAAAATAGATACTCGATCGTTTTTTATCCCAACTTGCCGTTCAACCGATCAAAGTCCACGAGATTCGACTTATTTTTTCAACGCAATCTTAGAAAAACAATCGCCACAGCTTTATGGTCTATAATAGAAACAATATCGAAATCAGTAGCTTTCGAAAAATAGAATCTGTTTAATAAATCACGAAACTCGTAAACAGTTCCAATTTAGGTGCAGAGGCAGTTCCATCGGCGGAAATTAAAGTCATTTAGATGTATGGACTCTAAATTATTACTTGCTATGAAAGCCGGCTTAGCAACGGGTAGCTGATTAATGCGCGGGGCGGTGCTTTATTACAATCGAATCTCTAAACTCATCTTGCAACCGGTCTGAGTACTGTAACCAGTGAGCTATACATTGTATATCTCAATTTAGAGACCTTACAGTGGCACGTGAAACTAGCGCTGGTTACGCTTGGTACTGGTGTAGTTTGGGAATTTGAGAATAGTCAGGACAACCAATGGATTGAAATGTTTTGATCTGTCAAGTTTTGCCAGAAGATGGAGATAAATAGTAAGTTCAGGGGATCCTAAGTGCAGTTACAGCGTCTGATAAATTAACAGTTAAAGAATATTATATACTTTTAAGCGTGGATGTTGAGGGGTTTTTTTACTTGTTTTAAAAGTTATGATAATTATCTAAGATGATGAAAACCAAAAACAAATTATCATTAACGACAGACAGTCCCTTTGTCATAAACCACCGAGGTTTTATGTAATGTAAAATTTTAATTTTTGGTGTTCGGCCATATTTTGTGCAAGCGGTAATTCCGTTAAAGCGGGCAATTCGCTTTCTAACCGCAGAGCAAACGACATGATTGTGGCAATAAGCACGGCAGGGCTGCCACAACGGAATTAAGAGCAGAAGAGTTGCTACTGAACACCTTTTTGGTCTAAGACCTCAGGGCTCATCGTCTACTAATCAAACAAACATGGTTTCAAAAAACCAACTGAAACTGATCTTAATTTCAGTCTGAAATTTGAGTGCCCGTATTCACAAACGATGCTTGCTTAAGTGGAGCAGCAAATCGAACGCACAGCGTTGAATAGAGCTCTGTGATTGGTTCCTGTATCACCCTGTGCGTCCACGCGCACTGTGAGACCTCATAGTAATGTTTGTGAATACGGACGAAAATACTCAAAATCAGAAAAAATTTGAAGGTTGAAGGAAAATGTATCGTTCTCGTTACAAATTGTAGTAAATTAGTGGCCAAGTAACAAAATAATTACTCAAGAAAAGAAACTTGATGTCAAAGAGAGTGAACCTTCCATGTTCTCTTATTTTGTGTATCTCTCCGATTCGACAAGATAACCGCAAAGGGCTCAGATAGAATCATCGTCATCTCTGATACAGGCAAAACTCGTTGTGTAACAAAACGAGGGAATAAAAGAAATCTCCGAGCATCAATCAGAGAAATTATGCAACGTATGCCTCGCATAATATACAAACGGCCGACATTACAATCGCAGCGGAGTCACGATTTTTTAATTCGGCGAAATGGAATAGTTTCTTTTACCCTACATTGTGACAAGATCCTAACCAAAAGGATAGCCAATAACAAAAAAATTCTTCAATCAGTAGTCGTGTGCCCACAACAACCTATTTGAGTTGTCACTAGAACTCCGAAAGAGGTCATTAGTGTGTTATCGATAGTTAGTTACGCCATTGCACATCACTATTACTAAATGCTATTTGAAAAAGAGATTGATAGCGTGACGGATAGCATTAAATTAAGTAGGTATGTCTTTTAGAAGATAAACACTCAATAAGTAATTAAAGTTGTCGGTAAATATGTTTTAAAGACGCGAATTAGGGTAAGTGCGTTAGTTTTCGTCCAATTATCGGAGTTGCCAACTTTGTGATGCGAAATGAATATCTTGAAATACCCTTACTCATATGTATCATAATAATATGTCATTTTAGTCCTTATATAGTCTACTTTACGTTAATATTATATGACAATAAGTAAATACCACGGGTTTTTTTATAAAAAATATTTTATGCAAAAGAGGCGATTTCACTAGTTTTCGTCCAAAAAAATCAGTTTTCGTCCTAGTGTACGCTAGTTTTCGACCACTGTGTAGAAAAAAGGGTGCAGTTGAATTATTAACTTAAAACCAATTCTACAATACAGTAACTATGGATTGTGGTATATCATTTGAAAGGTAATTTTGTTAGCTTTCAAATGATATCAAAAAGATTTAAATAAGTTTCTTACCTAAATTTAGGAAAATATTGCAATAGGTCGAAGGATAAATGGACGAAAACTAATCTACAGGAATAACAGTCAGAACATAGAGGCAAAATCTCGTAACGCCCGAAACGCACACTTTTCGAATCATATTTTCGTTATCCTACATTCTAAGCTGTACAAACTTTATTATTTAGATAAAACAACTAAAAACGGACAGATTAAGGCACTAACATTATTAAAATACTATTTCAAAATACATGAAATTGTTGAATATGTGTGTACGAACGTAACACCCGAAACGATGGAATGACCCCTAGCCTACTCACCACCTCACCTTTGATATTAATTCAATTAATTAACGAAATTAACCTACATAAATAATTTAAACAATTAGGACTGCCTGCGCTTACTTTTTATTATAATCAAAACATGAGCATTGAGCATTAAATTTAATGATGTAAAAACAATAAACCTTACGCGAAACATCACTATCAAATTGATACCTACTTTTATGAGACGAAATTGTTATTGCCAATAAATTGCAAGGAAAAGAAAACAAAATGCATTCATGATTAGCTCTGAATGGCAGTAAATAATAATCTTGTTGCTACGAAAGCGTTGTTTTTGGTGCGACGATCAAGTTTTGAGACTGCTAACGCCATCTGTTATCGTTTCAGCAAACTAACATGATGCCTAACTAAACCATAGGGCTTGCTTGCAGACTGACCTTGCTATTTTTAGCGCTTGAGTGGTTGATGTTTGGGATGATTTTAGGGTAGTTTTGCTTATAATAATGGTTTTAACAATTATTTATTTAGTCTGCACGAATGTTAAATATTATTATGGCTGTACCTAAGTTGTATCTACTACAGCAGTACGTAGATAGTCTGACTGTTTATTATATAGGATTAGGTACCTATCACTAGTACCTATTTAATGCATAAAAAATAAGTTTTCTTTTCATGAATAAATGTATGAAAACAAAAGCTTATTTAATTTTTTTTATTAAGTATAGTTTTTCCAGGTTTTACAGTTAAGGCTAAATGTTTTGTCAGTCAAGTAAAACGATTAATTATGTACTTAGGTATGAAGATAACCACTAGGTGGGTACGTAGATTGTTGGATTGCAAATTAAGTAGGTTTTATCCGATAATATCACTTCCACCAGAATTTACCGGTGCAAAAGATCAGTGACGTCGAGTAGATACTGTTACCAGTAGAACTGACTAAAATTTGTTGTCGTAAAAACGAACTTACAACCACTACAATAAGATACCTTGTTTCGCTTGACGTGCCATCATCCGTAGCTAATTTAGATTAAAAGTTGATAATTTAATGATAATGCTTTATTTAGATAGCCAAATTGTTATTGATTTCATGGGATATAAGTTACAGTAGTGTAGGTACCAATTAAATATTATGAACTAAGAAGTATATATCTAAAATCACGAATCTTGATGGATGGATCATAGGATAGAATTGTGCCTCGGGTGGTGATTAGGTTTGATTCCCAGATTTTTCCTTATTTGATATAATAAACTTTTTCTATCCAGCAAGATTTGATTCGAATATTCAACCTGGCTGGCTTTAAGACTACGCGAACCAACAAGCCAACAATAGTTATTGAAACAACAAAATAA